TGAATGTCACAAAAAAGAGATGGGGAGTGAGCATCTGCTGTCCTTCCAAGGAGGTGAGCAGGAGATGAGCACAGGAGAGTTGTGAAGGGGAAGATGATGGGTTCTGCAGCAGCTCTGGGGCTCCTGTACTGCCAGCCTGGTTGCTCTCTGAAGTCAATAAGGAGAGAATAAGAGGTGGTTATGTGGTAGGAGGTAACAGGGGAATTTTCTCCTGGATGGGCCAAGCTGAGCCCTGCTGGAGGGAGCTGGATTACTTTCTGGCCAGTGCCAGGTGCTTGGTGCAGCTGCCAGGGCAGGCACCTCCTGGGTTCTACCTGTGGTGTAGCTGTCTCCTTTCATGTCAGCACCCATTTGCTTTGTGTGGTGGGGATGAAGATGACCAGTAGCTCATGTCAAGACACTTTAAACATGATCTCACATTGTACTGTATGTGTTACCTGAGGCCTTGGACCCTACACGTAAAAAACAAATACATTTTGGAATCTGTAATCTATCTGTGGAATAGCGTCACATCTGTAAAATGCTTTGTTTGTCTAAGCCATTTTCTCTGAAAATAAATGTCATGCAATATTCCTGAAGCATTTCAAAAATGAAGAAATGAGCACATAAAAATAATTATGCATGCATGGAGGATCTTGTCCTTAGAAAAGAATTTTAATTCCTAGAGTTTTTCTAGGAAGGTGCAAGCAAGAAGCTGCACATAGACCAGGGAAAGGAAGCAAATTCATGAGGCTGATGATTAAGGGAGGGCTTCCAGCATGTGAGGAGAGACTCTGCTCTGATATAGTTGTGTTAACTGAAGTAATGGTACATGATTGATGGTGATAATTCTGGTAACTATTTTGTTGCTGGTTTAGCCAGTTGATATTACAGTATTTGTTGGTATTGCTTGTTTAATACACATACTCGGTTGTTGTTCTTACATTCTTATCTTACAATGGCTAACTTTTCCCTTTCCTGCTCCAAAACTAATTAAACGCTGTTTGATCATAACCAAGCAATTCATGCTCTTTGATACTATGATTCTTTTTTTCCCTTTGGTATATTCTCATAATCATGTTTTGGATGCTCAGGTGATCTGCAAGAAGTCTGGGTTCCCAATTGTAACGCCTTGGTTAAATTCTTAATGTCAGATAATACAGAAGTTAATGCTATTTAAATAAATCATAGAATCACAGAATCCTAGAATGGTTTGGGTTGGAAGGGACCTTGAAGATCATCCAGTACCAAGCTGCCTGCCATGGTATCTTGGGATGACTTGATGTTGCTGCATCCCCTATTGCCTGCTCTGTGCCCAGACAGGAGTCCTGTACTGTTAAGCTCCAAGTGGGGAGATCCGGGGGAATTCCTCAGAGCAGTTTGTGTGCAGTGCTCACAGACTGCCCAGGCTTCTCTGTGCTGTGTTGTCTAGCATGGATGGAGGGAGTCCACCTTTGCTTTTTATTAGGACACCTCTCCACTAAACCAGGTTATTCAGAGCTCCATCCAGCCTGGCCTTGAACACTTCCAGGGGTGGAGAAGCCACAGATTATCTGGGCAAGCTGTTCTGGTGCCTCACCAACCTCACAGAAAAGGATTTCTTCCCAATATCTAATCTAAACCTACTTGCTTTCAGTTAGAAACCATTCCCCCTGCCCTGTCACTAAATTTACTTTGTGAAGGCTCCTGTAGGACTAATTCAGCTTTCATCTATAAATCTTCCTCTCATGTGCTACCATAACATGCGAGCACGTGGGAACTTTGATTTTTCTTTAGTGTAACATGTCTGGAAAAAATCCCTCTCTTTGGTGTGATGTCTAGATTTCTACTGCCATCCTCCATTTTATTCCTGGGAAAATACCTACTTTAACTTGCAGTGTGAAGCTTTGCTGATCAATATGTTACAAGCATAGTAAAGTTCAAGAAATTGCCTCCATTACTATCTTGAGATGAGAAATTGATTCAGCTGCATTCTCTTTCTGCTAATTCATCCATGCTTTACATTCCCATAAAAGGAATTACATACTCCTTATTTTCCAGCAGTGTCATCAATCCTAATGAAGAGAGAAGACTGAAAATTTATATTGTGCATATGGGATAGCTGATCTCTGACTTAGCTCTTAATTTGTAAATGTTGCTGTAGGCTTCACTTCTCAGTTCTCCTTTCTGTGCTTTGTTTGTATGCAAAATCCAAGGGCTGGGATGGAAGCAAAACTGAAGAATATGGTAAAGAAGTATAAAGTTAGGTTGCTTTCTAATCTAAACATCAAAAAATGAGATGGTGGTTAAAATTTGATGGAAAGAATGAAAATCTCATCTGTAAATTTGATGTACATCTGCAGTGTTTGTTCCTGCATTAATTATGTTGGGACTGTTTTCAGTATCTATCAGCCATCAGTTCTCTACCTCTGGCTCTAAAATGTCCAGAGTTTCACTTTTTAACTGTCTTATTATGTATGAGACCATTGCACATGTCTGATAACTTCTGTAACCCAGCATAGGGGTGGTATTGTAGCTCTAATGATGAAAGTGATATAGTGGGAAAAGCAGCCAGAACAGATATGGAAAACAGGAAGGGGCTTTTCTGGGTATTTCAGTTGTTGTTTTTCTTAGTGTCCATCAGCCTGGCCTCTGTAGGAAACTACCAGGAATGGTTTGTCTGCACAATATTTTGGCATTTTTAGGCTTAATACTAGCATCATTTATTCAGAACAGATGGATAAATGACAAAGCAAAACTATATATTGTGACTTCAGTCATGGATCATGATATAGCAGTTAGTTTTTAAATTAAATTTAAACATATTGCCAGGTTCCTAAATAGCTGTGTTAAACTGAGGTAAAAAAAACCCCAACATTTTCTCTTTTGGCTCCACTGATGTTAGTCTCAGGTTTTCTCTGTGTGTCTGAATATTTTTTCTTACAAGCATGTGGTGCTCAATTTTTAGTCAACTATAAGATTCAATATGCCTTTTATAAACCTAGAGGTATTTAAATAGCAGTGTGAAAACCAAGTCAAATAAAGCATTAAGTAGAGGTGAGTTTATTAAAACCTTATTCCAACAAAGATTCATGGACTTGCTTAGAAAAATTGTGAGCCAACAGGATGCAAGTGGGTGATGAATTTATGAATTTAGGTTCACATTTCTTGCAAGACACGGATGCACACAGGTTTTAGTTACTGGGGCTCAACATGATAATGTTGTGATCAAAAACTTGCTTAGACTCAATAAAATCTATGTGGTGCTACCAGCACTGACCATCAACTGAGGTGTTCTGTTAAAGAAAGACATTTAGGCAGGTCAGGCTTTGTGAGGACTCCTCTGTCTCTCATGGTGTATGCTTTGATGGGTTGATGTCTGGATTGTGCTCTGCTGCTTTCTGTGGGCTTGCAGGGGAGGATGAAGGGGGAAGCAGAGACTGGCACTGGGCAGAGGGAGTTGCTTGGGTTCTTCTCCCCCACCTTGCTGGATAACTCAGGGAGGGCACTTGTTCTGTGCAAGGATCTGCTGGACTTGGGGGGTGGCTTCTGCTGTATGTGGCAGCATCACAGTGCTTGGGACCCATTCAGAGATTTTAAAGGAATAATTTTAAAAAGTACATAGCATGACAGTGAGAGGAAGTAAATGTTGAGGTTATCTGTGATCATTTCTACATTTTCTTCTTAAGCTTGGACTGACTTTCCAAAACCCAGCAATGCTCAATGCAGATGAAATGTTTTCCACTGATACCAGTGAGCTGTGAATTGCACCCCAAGTTTACAGGCCTGTTTCACAGAATCACAGAATACCAGGTTGGAAAGCACCTCAAGGATCATCTGGTCCAGTCTGGAAGACCCTGCATGCTTCTGATTTACTCCAAAAGCTCCCACTCTTCCAGCCTATTCAGGTGGCTCTTCTTGCTGAAGTGTATGCTGCCCCATTTAGCTTGGTATCATTGGCAAACCTTATCAGGGTACATTTGATTCTGTTTTCCAGACCACTTATGAATGGATTAAACAGCAGTGGGCTCAGCGTTGGCATTCTGCACTCATATCACTTTGTCCTTGGTGAATCCATGCTGACTTTTCCTAGTCACATGCTTCACCTGATTTGTGATAACCCCCGGCAGAATTTGTTCTGAACTTTCTCCACGGACTGAAGTATGGCTGACTGAAGTATGGTTGACAAACCTCTAACTTCCCAGGTCCCTCTGTAAGCTCTTCTTTTGGATAGGGTGGCATTAGCCACCTTCTTTTGGGATGTCCCCCAGTCGCACTGATTTCAGCCAACATTCTTAACACCCTTAGGTGCTAAGGGCCTTCCCTCAAAGCCATCCAGGCAGCAGCATTGACAAAAACATATGTGTTGTTTTCATTTAGGTAATTTAAGATGCCTTGTCTAGATACCTCTTCTGCACTGGGTGACAGGCTGATTGTATCTCCCACATCTTTGACTTTCATTAATCCCTCCCTTCCTGGTTGCTGTACCTGCACTTGTTTGTGTGATACTTGGCATGTAGGTTGCAAGCTCTGGGCCAGCAAATCTTCCTTTAAGGGAGAGCATTCACTCTCCCTTTGGGCTCCTTCAAAGCAGCATGAGGTGCTGTGAAATCTTTATGGTCCCTGCAATAGAGTCAAGATGTTGTTTTATTTATTGCATCAACATAACCCATTCTTCATTTTGCAGTAGGCGCCAAGCTGAGTAAGAATAAAAGATTCACTTGTATTTCAGTCTATAACTTGAAGGGCTGTGGATGTATCCATCCCAGAGATTTGACAACAAAGCAGTCTCTCACAATCAATAAGGGAAAGGAGTTCTTGGTTGTTCTTTAAAGGAGTTGGAGTGCTGATAGTTGCCCTCTGCCATAGTGACTTAAAAGATACAGTGACCTGAAGATACTGTATTAAATAGAAGTTTGTTTTTTGTTGTGTTGCAATAGGAAGCTCATTGTCACAAATCTGCTCATGCTTTGGAGCAAGCCGGTGCTGGGAGATAGTCACATGTGGGAAAAATCTAATTTCCATTCTTTTGTTTTGTTTAGATACGTCACTTTGAGATCACAGAATGAAAGCAGCATGAAATGTTATGGCAAAGACAGCACAAGAAGACACAAGAATCTCACAAATCCTCAAAAATCAGGTAATGTCAAAGCATCATATGTCCAGTTTTTCAAAGGCTGTCTTTAATAAGTTTAATGAGTTTATAACTTATTATTAATATATATAATAATAATAATATAATAATTATAATCACTTATTAAACAGTTAATAAGTTTAACTGTTTAATAAGTTTCAGTGCTTTTTGACAGTTTTTCAAAATTTGGGCTTCTGAGTCCCTGTGAGTTTATTCATGGACTGTTCAAATCTGGTTAGCTGTGTGTGGGCTGTGTATCTAGTAGAATATTATTTTGTGTTCCACAGTATGTATGACACAAGAGGTATACACACATATCTTAAAGGACTACTTTGGCTGTATTGTCTCATACAAGCAAAAGGACATTAACTTAAGAAAAAAAGAAGCAGCAACTAAGGTGATCAGGTTTTTTTAGCCATTGGATTTGACTTGGCTCCACTGCTAGGCACCAGCATGGACTATTGCAGAGGGATGGACTTTTCAGAGGGTCCTGCAGCTGCATTTCTCAAAACTCTCTCCTTTGGGGAAGACACCAGGCTCAAAATAGCTGTTCCCTCCCCACTGAAAGCTTAGCCATATGCTATTTTCCACATACTACTACTTGTGCTTGATTTTTTTGATTGTTTATCTCTCTCAGGATGTTTTCTCCTTGCCTGTTTTTGCAAATCCTAGCATATGTTCTTTGACTGTTTTGAAGCATTTCTAGTTACAGAAAAAGGCAATCACATTGCACTCTGCAAAGAGTAAACACTACAGAGGTCAGAAAGAAACTGCTTAAGTGCATTACAAGGGTGCTCACCTTAAACTAAACTTGGGGCTTATCATGGCTGTGGTCACAGCAAAAGCTGATGGATTAATGTTTGAAAATTTCCCCCTCTTCCCCAAATCAACAGCAGCAACCAGAGGTAATGTAGCCACATACAGTAACTGAATGAGGTCTGACCTCTCTGTCCTAAGTTCATTTCATGTTTGCAGAACTAGGATCTTGCTGGGGAATAACAAGTGAGTCAGTTCAATAATAGAAATAAACTAAAATATGAACCCGAAGACAATTTTGATGTTAGGACATGTTTATTTTCCAGGAAGCGTTTGAGAGTATTGCCCTTGATGTAGGACTTGGCAGAAGGGACAACAATTTGTCTCAACCTAGCAGTCAGTAAACCCAGGTTGGCTGAAGAGACTTCAAATGAACTTTCACTTGATGCAGTAAAGTATAAACAAATAAAAAAATAAAACTACCGTGTTTATCACAGTAGTGCCTTTAGTTAGTGCTGTCTTTGATATGCTTTTTAGTCACTTAGTCATGGAATATGCAATTCAAGTGCCCTTCTGGCCTTAAGTCAAAGCTTGGATTTTACTTTTATTTCTAATCAGTATTGTGAGGAGATCACATAATTTTATGTTTGCCATTTTTATGAAGCAATATGATACCTGCTTCTCTTGCAGTTTTCCAAACCCTTCAGAGTACCTTGAAACAATTCACCAACAGCAAAGATAATCATATTTGTTGAAGCAATCTTCTTTGTTTCTTTGGGACTCATGAAATTGTATCTTCCTTAAACTAAATTCAGCTAATGGCTTTATTTAGAAATCAGCATTCTCTTTTTGAATAACCAGAATTCTGCTAGTTTGGGGAAACAACATTTTCATTAAATTACTAGTGCCTTAGAATGCATTTTTTGCACAGATCAAAACAAGAGGAAAATGTTTCTGTTTGTCTTCCTCCTTGCTTCTCCTCCTTTTCTAGAGACTTTCCTTTCCTGAGATGATCAACTGTTGTTTTTCCTGTTGGGTTTGTTGGGTTTGGTGTTTAGTTTTTGGGGTTTTTTTTCTTTTTTTCTTTTTTTCTTTTTTTTTCTGCCTTTTTTTAAACTTCATTGAAGTAGAGAAATTGCTCAGTTCTCTCCCAGTGCCATCGTTGTTCTCCCCTCCCCCAAGTCCAATGTGTTTTTTATTAAACTGAATTAGGACATTCTAGTCTCTCTTAAGAGTGGAAATGGGAACAGCTTAAATGAGCAGCCACATGAGACTCAGCAGCCTTTCCAACTGCACTGCAGAAGCTTAGCTGCAAAGAGAATGATAATTTTTGAAGGATTTGTGCAACTGTTGAAGAACTACCAGCATTAATATTAAAAAGCAGCTTATCCGTTTTTCCTTTTCCATTTTAAGAGTATATAGCTTTCTTACTATGCTTGCTATAAAAATCAGTCTACTAAATATTTTGCTTCCTTTCAATCCTCTTCCCTTTTGTAATTCCTCTATTTGCATACTTTCTCATATACTGAAGTGGGTTTTTTGTTGTTGGTTTTGCCTAAGAACGTCAACCTCTGGGTTTGAATGCAGATATGGGCGTGGGTTTGAGATCTGTGCCATTCAAAACCAGACAAAACTGAATTGCAGCAGAAACCATAGGAGCAATTGTATCCAGGATTGGGATGAAAAGGTTTTCATCCCTAAAAACATTTGTCCTTGAGGTAGCTGTAGAAAATTTTTGGTCCTTGAAATCCGTATTGCTACTTCAATGTTTATTCTAACCAAAACAGCCATGAGCCTGATGACCCTTATTTTCAGTGTCTGCCTCTATTGCTATATCTGATGTCTTCAGGATTTCTATAGATACTTAAAAAAAAAAAAAAGGTAGGTGTTTGAGTTATCATCTCACCTTTCTTTCCCTTTTCCTCTCTGGTGTCTCACCCAACCACCTTCCCTGGCATTGGAAATTATTAATTCTCTTTGACTACTGTGCTGATTTTTTTCACAGGCTTATATTCTGTGCCAAGAGGAAAAAAAAAAAGGAGTAGGGGCTTGAACTCTGGTTGCATAGTAAGTTATGAGAGCAAACGTGGTATCTAAACAGGGCACAAGAGCACAGGGATCTCTGAAATATGCCACTCTTACGCTCCTTTTTTTCTGTGCTTCTCAACCTTCCAGCATTACTCTGGTCTGAAGACCCAGGGGCAGTGCCAGCTTCACACCTGAGAGCTGTGTGTGTGCAGGGGAGGTGGCTCTGTTCTTGGGCAGCACCCCCTTACTTCTCAAAGCTGCTCCTCTGGATGGGGTCACAGGGGTGCAGTGGCCAGCTGAAAACTGTGCCTGTCTGTGCCCAGCTTCAAGGCTGGCTTATGGTCAGCCTGTGGCTGGGCTGCTGGTAGCACTGGTGTGAGCAGAATGCAGGCTGTCAGGAAAGGAAATGCTGTTTATCCCTGTGTCTATCCTAAAGGAAATCAGAGCACAAGATGATGTGAATGATGGCTGGCTGGGTTTAGGAATAGCTTGGCAGGAGATCTGACAGTTCTGAATAGCAAAACAGGTCAATAAAAACATGCCCATAAAAAAGGCTAAAAAATGAATAAGAGAAACACACTGGTTTGTTCCTATGGAAGCTAAGTACGGGGGGAAAATTAAGTGAAAGAAGGGAAAGGAGAACTTGATTTTGGCTTTCATATTACCTGAAGTTAAGAATGAAGCTTATATTCCAGTGACAGAAAGACAGTCACTTGAGAGAGCCCTGTAAGCCTGTGTGACTGAGGGGTGGTAATGCACGATTAAAACATGAAAACACACAGCAATGACACATTTCTAAGCAGGCCTTCGGTATTACAAAACACAGGCTGCTAAGGGTGGTGGTTAACTTTGCTTTAACAGACATTTTACCATCCCAGAAGGAGGAAGGGACATGAGGAGAGTTGGTGCCCAGAAAATGAGTATCTGCTGATGCTGCCACTTGTGAGTAGCTGCAGATACTGTCCTGCAAAAGCTGGTAGAACATGGAGGAATGTGGGCTTTTTTGCCATCTTATCCAGTCTTCTCTTTTTCAAGCTAGCTAGTAATTAATCTATAAAAGCATGTAGATTTTAGCTTAAAGAGACAGCTGAAAAACTTGAAATAAGTTGGACAAACTGTAGGATCCAATTCCCTTTTGATACACAGCCATGCAGCCTACTGAGATGGGTTAGATTAGAGCTGTAATAACTTTACAGCCTTTTAGTGAGTCTGCTTCCTTCAGCATTTGCTCTCGTACAGTCTTTTGTCATCCCTCTCTATTAACTGGCTCTGGCTGACATTCAGCCCTGGTTTTACAGCACACACCCAGCCCAACTTTTATGCATCAACTTATTTGTAGTGGATGTCTCGTTCTGGAATTCATGTGAATTCAGGCAGTTCAATTGTGTGACTGTCATTTAATCTGTAATTTTACTCGAGTTGAAAAATTCTGCAGATTTTGGCTTCTGTGGTGTGTGATGGAGCCAGAAATGTTTATTTTATAGAACTATCATCATCTTAGTATCTCACTGTTGTCTTCTCTAAGTACATAGAAAGGCCTGAATTGGAAGAGATCTTAAAGGCTGTCTAATTTCAACCCCCCTGCTGTCAGCAGGCACACCTTCCACTAGACCAGGCTGCTCAGAATGCCATCCAACCTGGGCTTACATACTTCCAGAGTTGTGGCCTTCCACAGCTTCTCTGGACAATTTGTTCCAGTGCCTCATCACTCTCACAGTAAAGAATTTCCTCCTAGTATATAATCTAAACCTTCTCTTTTTAGTTTGAATCCATTCCCCCTTGTCCAGTCACTACATGCTCTCATTAAAAGTCCTTCTCCATCAGTCTTGTAGGATCCTTTCAGGTACTGGAAGGCCACAATTAGAGCACTCTGAAGCCTTCTCTTCTCCAGGCTGAACAATCCCAGTTCTCACAGCATTTCCTCACAGGAGAGGTGCTCCATCCCTTTAACCATCTTGGATGCCTCCTCTGGATTCACTCCAGCATGTCCTTCATGTGCTGGGAGCCCCACATCTGCTTCTGCCTCTATGGTGATACAGTTTACAAAGGAGAAAAATTGGATCACCTTTACTGAAGACTGATACTTTCTTCCCACTTCAAGTTTACCAGAATTAAGTTATTGCATGCTTCCAGGAGAGCCTATTTGTATTGCCTTTCAGTTACTTGTGTTTGAAGAGGGAGACAGCTGGAATGTGTAAAGTCATCTCAGCCAGCTTGGTGGGCCCCTGGATGTCAGTCTGGAGAATGGAGCTGTGCAAGTTGCAGGGGACCTTGTCGAAATGATGAGAAAAGATTTGGAGCAAACCCTTGTCTCTGTTGAAATCAATTGAACTACCATTAGCATGATTCCAGATTTCATCCATAAACTTAAGTAGGGTATTTATTTTTCAAGGCAGCCTACAGAAATGTTTCTGTCTGTTGGCATTTGTTTTCATGCTTCTTTGTAATGATTGCATAATTGGGATGTATCTGTAATGTCAGAAATGTAATAGGTTAAGTAGCATAAATGACTGTTAGGAAGAGAAGAAACACAGAACCGCAGAACTGTTGTTGCTTTTAACTCCTACTAGTTTAGTTGTTCAGTTTAACCATTTATTAGTCAGAGCTGTTGTGATAAATGGCAGTGATGGATGTTTAGGCACCAGTGCTAAACACAAAGGAGAAAAAGCACGCTTTTTTTCCTTTCTCTTAAATGGAAATCATTCAGTATGCTGCTAATGGTTTCCCAGTTGGCCAGAGACTGACTTTGGTGCCCCTGAGCCTTAATGATGTCATGATATGCTGCGTCTCTCCCAACTCAACAAGTATAGACTCTGGTTTTAATCTGACAAGAAATGCATACTGTTAGGATTTTGTTAAAGCTGATAGCAAATGCTGTGTATACAGCATCAAGCCCTTGAGTTTCAGCCTTTAGTTGAAGTACTAAAAAAACATTTGGTATCTAAGGGACTGCTTGATTACTGATTATGCTCTTATCAATGTGCGTATCTGGGTTTTTTTCCTGTTACCTGAAGGTAGGATAACAATGCTTTTTAAACATTTGCTTTTTTTTTCTCTCCAGATCAGTGATGCCTTTGAAAGGAATGTTTTCATCTTTCTTTTATTTTTATTCTGGGGGAGGGGAGATGGGTGTTTGAAAACAATGCAATTTTTTTCAAATGTGATTTTCACAGTGACTAAACTTTTCAGTCCTTTTGTAACTTGATTGGTATTTTAATGTAATATCCCATTATATATTTTTAAGCTTTTTACAAATGTAAATTTCTGTATGACTCTGATGATAACTCCATAACCTACCTGACAGCAGCATGTCCCACCTCTCAAACCAGAGCTGAGTTGAGGATGCTAGAGCTGCTGGAGAGGAAATGTTAATGAACCTTTTTTTTATTTTATTTTTTTTTTATTATTCTGAGAGAGGGGAAGAAAGGTGTCTGTGCTAATGCCACAGATATAAAACCTCTTGACTGCTTTCCAGTGTCCTGTGACAGGTAATCCCCAGGTGAAAGGGTGCAGTAAGTGGAATTTGGCACATGCCCAAGGGACAGCATTTTTTGTGGTGACTACAGCACTAGCTGTGGCTGCTGGTGCAGTCCACAGCATCTGCCACCATGGTGCTCCTGCCTGTGGGAAGAGAAGGGGCCTGGTTGGCCCCTTGATACATTTTTGTAATAAAATCAGTTTATTTACTACCTTAAGTCTCTTACTATCCTTACTCCTGGAATTCTTGTGGTCTTCTAATTGTTTCCTGGAGACATTTGTTCTCCCTCACTGGTTTGTATTGTTTCTTGTCCTTTGACTAATACTTGTCACTTCAGAGGCAGCAAAAGAAGGGCCAAACTCAAGGAATAGCTCTGTTAATAGGTGAAATGGGACATAGCTCCTATGCAAAAAGTGTACCTATAGATCCAGTAGTTCTGGTTTTATGGGAAGATGTGTTCTGAGCATCTTGACTGAGCTTCCTAAACTTGGCAGGCATAAAAAGAAATGCACATTCCCTCTCTTCCTCTAAAACGTTGATGGCCTTTCAGTGTGAAACACCATGCAGTATTTATTTTTATGCCCTTTTAATGTTTTGTGGAGGGTTTGTTTAGTTTCCCTTCATAATTTTTAGTAGGAAGTCTTTGAAGTTGGGTTGTAGATGAAAAACCCTGTTGGCAGCCTGAGTATTCATTGTTGACTCCTATCTTTAATTGTTCATCTATAAAAATCTGGAAAGGAGTGTGTTCAGAGAAACTGTGAAGCAATGTGTATTTCTGGAAAGGGGAAATAAACTTGCAATTATTCTCAGCTATTATTTGTCACGTGAAGATGTTACATACTAATGGTTGCAGATGGTTTACACAAAAACTATACACGCTGCAAACACTCTTCATTGGGAGCTATGGGTTTCTGTTATACATTATGCTAGAATGGAAAAGGTTTTTTTTCCTGCCTGCAGCTATGTATTACCCTTGTTTGCTGTTGCAAGCACAAACTCTCCTTAATATGCATCCGGCAATGGTTAAAATTTTCTTCATCGATGACTTCACATTTATCCACGTAGCTGGAGGATTCTTCTAAGGTTAGAAAGGTAAGGACATCAGTGTGCAGGAGTCCTTGGTGGAGAGCACTGCATTTCGAAAATCAGATGTGAAGGAGGCAGAGTTAAGGTTTTGGTTTAATATTTCTGTGTTCTTGTTCAAATGCAGGATCTGCTTTTATTTTAAAATGTATTTATGAGTTCATAAGTATTTTGTATCTCTGTGCATATGGGTGACTGTAGACACAGTAATTGCTTCATATTGTGGAGTAGTAAAACAATCCTATCATGTTGTTATGTATTTTCTATTCTTCAGAAATAGTATGGACATCTGTAAAACATTAGTTGAGTTACAGTTTATACAGTAAAATTATGAAAGGCTGCATTTGGTATAAATTTGTTAAAATCATGCAACACAAAGAAGGAGGGATGAACAGGTAGAACAGAAGTCAGAGTTCAGCATTCCTGATGAAAGGTGACTGGTCAGAAAACATTTCAGTTGACTGGTTTGGTCTTAGCAGAAGTACTCCAGGTCAATCAGTCTCATCTGCATCCCTGGAAAGGTGATGAAACACCTCATCCTGCATGTCAGCTCTAAGGGTGTGGAGGAAAAGAAGGTTCTCAGTAGTCAACAGGGATTCACCAAGGAGAAATAATACCTTGAGCTATCTGACAGACTTCTGTGATGGAATGTCTGGCTGTGTGGGTAGATGAAGGGAGAGCAGTGCCTGCCTTGACTTCAGCAAGGCTTTTGACACTGTATCCCATAGCATCCTCATAGGTAAGCTCAGGAAGTGTGGGTTAGATGAGTGTGGTGGATTGAGAACTGGCTGAAGGGATGGTCCCAGAGTTGTGGGCAGTGGTGCAGAGTCTGACTGCAGGCCCATTGCTAGTGGTGTTCCCTAGGGGCCAATACTGGGTCCAGCTTTGTTCAACTTATTCCTCACTGATCTGGATGAAGGGACAGAATGTACTCTCATCAAGTTTGCTCCTGATACAGAGCTGGGAGGAGTGTCTGATTTGTCAGAAGCCTGGGTAGCTATTCAGCAAGAGCTGGACAGGCTGGAGAGTTGGATGGAGTGATCTTAATGAAGTTCCATGAGGGCACGTGCAGGGTTCAGCACCTGTGGAAGAATAACCCCTTAAACCAGCACAGGGGGCTCAGCTGCTGGAAAGCAGCTCTGTGGAGAATGACCTGGGAATCCTGGTGTGCAACAAGCTGTCCGTGAGCCAGCAGTGCACTTAAGGTCAAGGAGGCCAAAGGTATCCAGGGGAGCATGAGGAGGACCATTGCCAGCAGGTCAAGAGAGGTGATCCTGCCTCTATTTTGCCCTAATGGGGCCTCATCTGAAGTGCTGTGTCCAATTCTGGGCTCTCTAGTTTGAGAAAGGCATACTGGAACTACTAGAAGGAGTTTAGTGGAGGGTTGTGGAGGTGATAAAGGGACTGGAGCATCTCTTATGAGGCAAGAGAGGCTGGTTGGCCTGGAGAAAACAGGATTTTATCAGTGCATAGAAAGATCTTAAGGGCAGGTGTCAAGAGGATGGAACCAAGCTCTTTTCATTGGTGCCCAGCAACAGAACAGGGGGCAGTGGGTACAAACTGAAACACAGAAGTTCCATCCAAGTATGATCCATCCATCCTTACTTTGAGGGTGTCAGAACACTGGAACAGGCTGCACAGAGAGGCTGTGGAGTCTCCTCCACATATATGCACAGTTGAACATGCTTTAGAAGGGGTTTGCAGAGATGATCTGCAGAGGTCCCTTCCAACCCCAACCATTCTGTGATTTTGTGAGTCTATGACTTGCCTTGATAGTCAACCATCTGACGAAACTAGTCATGAGAGCACAGTATATGGCTGACAAAAACTGCTTGAATGTTTATATTCTTTATGGGAAAAGACAGTTTTGAAGAATAAGTTTTTATTGGTTTGGCAGAATGATTTTATCAGAGCACTAGAGGAGAGGAAGGATAATAGGATGAGATGAAGTAATCTTAACTGCTCTGAAATAGCCCAGCTGCTACAATTTTGCATCTGATTATGTATCTCAAACAAGAAGATTTTACAGTTTCCTTTGAAGCAATAACCATAACAGTTTATGGAAAGAGCCAGCACTTACCTTGTCTTTCTCTTACTCTGCAGGTGCTTGGCACACTAAACTTACTGATCTGTGTAGGATTTGTGCTGTGGTCCATTCATTGAAGATGTGAAACAACATCAAGTCTGAGATTGGAGTTACTGACAGACTGGAGGAAATTTTAGTCCTTGTGATGCACGTGGACATGCTGAATTATAAGTAATTCTAGCTTCTTGTCCCCTCCCCTCCCTTCCCCTCACTCAGCTATCTCAGGGTTCATAGAGATTTCAATGGTTTGTGTGCCTGTAAGTTTGGAACAGAAGTGACCAAAAATGGGGGACCAGCAATTGTATAAAACTAATCATACTGCCAACAACAATGAGAACTTGTACTACGAACAACACCAAATGAACTCCCTTCCATCTCTAAATCATAGCTATGGGACATCTGTTATGGATGCTCCTCAGGCGTCCCCCCTCTCCCCTCCATTTCCCCAAGATTCAAGGGACAGTATAGCTTTGCCTGTAAGTTCAAAAAGTCTTGGGTCGATGGATACATCTAGACAAACCAGTTGGACACATTCTGGCTCAGGTAACCATGTCCCAGCGAGGAACAGTTTGAATAATCAAAGCGCAATGTGGAGCCCCCTCGGGCAGGGGGAGTCCCATGACGGATACCAATATTCTTACCCGCAACCCAGTGAAAACCGATCGCAAAAAATTACCAGTGGGGTCCTGCACAAATTGGACTCCTTTACACAAGTATTTGCTAACCAAAATCTGAGAATTCAAGTGAACAACATGGCTCAGGTTCTGCACACCGAGTCTCCGATGGTGGATAATTCCGGTGACAGTGCGCTCAGGCAGCTGCTGTCCCAGAAACCGGCGGTTGAGCAACAACCCGTAGCTTCCACCGTACAAAGATACCAACCAGTGCCACAGCAAACGCACCAGAATTTTACAAGCACACAGCAAAAGCAACAAATGCAAGTCATGCAGCACCAACAGTTGTACTACGACTACCAGCAGCACTTATCACAGATGCAGATGCATTCTGCGTTCCAGCAGGGACAGGCGCACGTTCCGCAAATGCAGTCCCAGCAGCTCCTGCCGCAACAGATGCAGCACTTGCAGCAGCCTCAGTACTACGCTCAGCCGCAGCAGGGACACCAGCGGCTCTCGATCCAGGAGATCCAGCAGCAGCCTCCAGCTCGGCAGCAGCGGCAGTGTCCAGTGCAGATCGCTCAGTATTACCAAACACAACCTGTCATGCAGCAGTTACAGCAGCAGCAGCAGCAGATGCAATTGCCGCTTCCTCACTATCACAGGGAACCCGATCCAAAGACTATGCATGAGCCACACCAGTACTCTCAGGATCCCGGGCATCCTGTGCAGCTTATCCAGTTGGGAGCAGTGCCTCAGTATTGCTTCCAAGATCCCCACGAACAGTACAGGCACTTGTACCCCCAGAGTTTACTGCAGCAGCAGCAGCAAGATCAGCAGAAGCAGTACCTGAGTGAGGGCAGAGTGCCATCCCTGAGCTCCCACATTGGCCTCACTCCACCAGACACCGCTGAGGATCCCACACGGCAGGAGATGAATTCTGTAGGTAATGCTGTCCCTCATCGAACTCTTTTGCCACCCTCGGGTGTTCATCTGAACAACAAAAGCTCTCAGCAAGACTCTCCCAGCACCACGTGGCCTCAGGTAGGTGGTATTTTAGATCCATGCCCAAGCAAATTTGTTTGCAGAAGAGAAGCAAAGTATGGAAACTAAGCAGTTTGGGCAGAGGGCATTAGGTTAGGATGTAAGATCTGGGATGGGGAACTATTGGGAAACTTCATTTGGTCTACAGCTCAGGGTGGGCTTTGGGCCAGGCTGGCAGCAGCACAGAGCTGTTGCTGAGAGGCTGCTGCTTTCCTGTGAGAGGCTTTGAGAAGTTCTGCCTCAGTTTCTGGGAAGGAGGGACCCAGTTACAACAGAGCCTTCCTGCTAATTTTTCAACACTGCAGGCTCAGTTGTTCAGGAGCAGTTAGTCAGCTCTGTTTCCAAAAGTAGTAGTTCTGGGTCAAAGCAAAGGCTTCAATCAGCAGGAGAGTGAAGAAAACTTAAACTAGCAGTGCTCACAGCGGCAGATTTGATGTCTGGCTTTCAACTCAGAGGCTTTTTAATAGTAGTAAAATTGTATGTAAAATGCATACTTAATGCTGTGAGTACCTTCATTTATACAGTATTTCCTGAAAAATTATTTTCTCAACTTTTTCCCCTCTTTTCCATTCTCCTGTTTTGATAGCAGGTGCAACTATCAGATGGCAGACTGCAGCCACTGTCCCCAGAACAAAGGTATTTTAAAAAGATTCTTTTTGTCTTTGTAATAAAAGATGAGAAATGCAAAGGAGGTCTGTATTTACAGGGAAAAGCATACAGTGTGGATATGTAATAATTGTTGTTCTTCTAGAAACACCTTTAGTTTTGTGCTTTCTGATTTTAAGTTTGTATGATTTCCAGCATACCCCCATTTCAATAGAGTCAAATAAATACTTACTTTATATTAAAAAAAAAAAAAAATGAAGAAAATCAAAGAAAAACCAAAAGCAGGAGAGCTCCAGTGTTACATTTATAAGAAAAGGGATGCTATATAGTCTGGATTTGTATCTTTGGCAGCAGAGATCTTCTGTTTGTTCCTTAAGATTGCACCTCTGAAAGACCAAGGTGTCTGTCAGAGTGGTTTCCTACCATAAATTAAAGGCAATGTGTCCAAGTTACTTGCTGTCACAAGTGGGGAAATGCAGGTCTGTCATGGTAGATGTCATGGGATTTGCTGTATTGATGAGCATGTCCTGCTCAAAACTTCCCTTTTCCCTATCTTGGGAGCAGCTGATCTAGGTGATGGGCCATGTATTCCACAGCAGTCACCACACACTTGCTTGTGACTTCATTACCATCTAGCTGTATAATTTTATTAACTTCCTTGATTAAAAAAAGCTCCCTTCACAAAAAAGGAAACATGCCAAACTAATGTTTTGTTTCTGTTCCATGCTTTATAAAAATGAAAATAAAAATAGTGGCCAGAACAGAGAAACACTTCCCGAGAGAGCTGATGCGAAGAACAAGCTAATGTGTTCAATATGCTTGAAGGAATTTAAGAGTTTGCCTGCTCTAAATGGTCACATGAGGTCACACGGAGGAGTAAGAGCATCTCCCAACTTCAAACAGGTAGCAGTCCATTTGACTTAAGTATTTGGCACAGTCTTTTTGTGTTGATGTTTGCTTGCTTTGCCATGCTTTGCTTTGCTGTCAAAACTTGTTCTTCTCAGCACTGTTTTGTTATGTCATGCCCCATGGAAGTAGAAATGCACATAATTCTGTTAGTTTGTAGGCCAGAAGTCTTGTTTCGAAGACAGAGGCAGTGGTGGAGGACAGATCAGTGTTTGTCCTTCTCTGTTTCTCTGCACATTACAGAACACCCTACCAAGTCATGTCAGGAATGTCTAATTTTTTTCCTCCTCATGTTTGTTTATTATATTAGACATACCAGGAACGTCAAGTCTTCCTTATTTTCATTTAAACTACTTGGATGACTAAGGAATATTTATTGGAGGCCTTCCCAGGCTTTAACTGGAGGAGCAGAATTGTTCAATCTTTGACAACTTTCTTCCAAAGTGTTTTAGTTGTAATAGGTATCAACAAATTCCAAACCAAAAATGTGTTCGAGCTGTTCTGCATAAAAATAACTTGCCCTGTCAGTCAGTCTTTATCCTGATATTTTAGAAATTCTATCATAACAGGGAATACCATAGGAGGGCAAAGAGCTACCAGAGTTCCAGAGTTTATGTTTTTGTTTTCAGTTGGGTGATGGAGAATTCTGTGTTTGTAGTGATAAAAAGGGACATGTTTGTCTCTCCTCCTGCAAGTTACCTGGTAAAGATGCTTCAGGTGATTATTTGTCACCAAGACTGAATCCTATGTAGGAGTCACAAGTAACCTGCTGACTTCTTTTGAGGCGAAGAAAGAGTCCCAAGAAGGAAAGAAGGAGCACTGTTGTGTCTTGTAACCCAGGCCACTTCTTTTCAGCCACGGTGCACACATTGCATAGTGCATCGATCCAGCAGCAGCGCTCCCTCACTGGGGCTGAAAGCCTTTAATTGTCTGTGCAGGATGAAGGAGAGAAACCACCACAGCAGCCGCTGTCTAAAGAGGTGGATGGCCTCGCGCCCATCGTCATGCCAGTGTCTGTCCCTGTAAAGCTTCTGTCACCTGAGCCCAGCACGCAGCCCTCTGCCAGCACTGCCACAGTCACAGACAAGTCTGCCAACTCTGTGTCAGATGACGAGATGCCCGTTCTTGTGAAGATGACTTACTCTCCACCGTGCAGTCCAAAAGTGGCCAACCCCTGCTCATCCTCTGTGAGTGCTGTGTTTCTTGCCACTAACTGTCCTGTGCTCGTTAAATCCCTTTGCTTGTAGTGCTGCTACCTTCCAAAACATCAGTATTTTAGAATATTTTCTGGAATCTTTATGATTCCTAACAAATAAAAAAAGTCCTGTAGCATCAGAGCATTTCTTCTTCAATCATTTGAAAATATTAATTTTCCTTTGCTGAGGAATCAAGATCTCAGTTGAAAACAAATAATTCAAAATTGGAATGTGATATTCTTTCATCCCACTAGAACAAAGGGATTTACTATCTTTTTACTGGTTTTGTTTTTTCCTTTTCAGGCTGCTTCATTGTTATGTTATTGCTTAAAATTGGCGGTTTTATTTCTTCCTGTTTTCTGAAGTCAGATATATGTGCTTCTCATTTCAGCCAAAGGGAGTACAGTGCTTAGAGTATGTGCTCTAAGCAATACGAAACTTGGAGTTCTGCAGTGAAGTAATTTTTCCCTTTCTCCCTGCATGCATCAGCTCTAAGGGTTAATCACTGGGATTTCTGATACAGGAAAAATAGCTCTGCTTAGTGCTTACATTTTGCTTATAAAACTGAAATGGTCAGGCAGCACAAGGAATTGATGAGTGCTTGAATGAGATGTGAGAACGCTCATTATTATTTTCCTGAAGGAATCCTGGAGCAAGCAATATTTATTTCATGTTCTGGTGTAGAAATGAATTCTGCTCATTCCTTCAAATCCATTTTGGCAGACTACGCCATGATAAGGGATTACTGGGGAGTATAAGTTCTGTATGGTATTATCTGTACAATGCAGAGAAATATCTTTGTGATATTTTTGATTTTCCTTCTGCATGTGAGGTTGATGGACAAATGAGAAATCAGTATTATACCAGCATGTGTGACTCCTTACAATATTCACTCCTGACTCTTCATTCAGACATATTCACTAATTTTAAATATATATAATATATACATGTATATATTAAATGTCTCCTCTCTTCCTTTAAGACAGAGGTTTTACTGTGAAAGCTGTCATTTTGCAATACTTAGTAACTCAGTGGCAGAATTCTTCATTTCTATTTCTAGTCTGCTAAAGAATAGGGACAGTCTTTTTTGAATCCTCAAGTTCTGAGTGGGAGATCTTCTCTAGAGACTCCAGAGTAGGTGGCTTGGACTTGTGTATTTCTGCAACATATATAAAGTGACTGTGATTAAATCTGCCAGTGTTTGGCAAAATGCACATTCATTCTCTCAAAATTATGCTTGTGGTCTTTGTTATTGCCCAAGCAAACCAAACTCAGGCAGTTCCCTCTCTGGACCCTATCTTTTACATAAGCAGTAGCATTGGAAACATTAAAAGATCAAGAGATCCACAGTTTCCCCCTCTTTTGTAAAGCGATTGTGCCATTGGAGAGGGATTTCTTGTAATACCAAAGAACTGAAGCTGTGTTGCATTTATTTATACTGTGCTTCAAGCTGTCCAGAAAAGCTTCCACAAAACTCACGGAATCAGTAAAATGAAACAGCAAAAAGGAACTAAACATTCAGCAAGGCTACAGGATGGTGAGCTGAGATTAGCAGTCAAGTGAGGCCCATCAGGATCTGTCCTGAGTGGATCTGTCAGGGTGCAGCAGCAGGACCCAGAAGAATACATTCTGTCTTGGATAATGGGAATCAGTTACTAGAAATTCAGAAAAGTAGGGTGGTTTTTCAGGGGTGGTTGTGCACTGAGAGCCCATGGACACATTATCTCCTTTGCTGCTCAATGTGACCTTTCTTGAAAGCAGTGTTGGCATAGGTATGCTCTAGGTGAAGCAGTGTAGGAGATGGAGGTATTAATGATTTCTAAGGTGTTACATTGAGTTGCTTTACACTTGTGAGAAACAAGTACCAGCTCTTTCACACTTGGAGAGCAGAACAAAATGAGCCCTTAATCAAAGACATGGCCTTCTGGGTCTCTTTTTCAGGTTTTGGGTTGTTTGGATTTTTTCCCTTGAGTTTAGGGTTTTTCCACCTTTCTCCTTTATGAACACTAAATGTTCACCATCTTGATAGACTTTATCTGTCACTACAGGTAGCTTTCACTGTTCCAAATGTCCATTATCAAAAAAATCCTCTGCAAAGCTGCATTTTCTTCCCTGCAGAAGCAAAGCTCTTCAAAAAAGGAATTTTTTTTACAGAGAAAAAAATGTCAACAGCTGTTGGAGAGGATGCAACCACGATCTAACAAAGAGGACGGGACCTCTGTAATCAAAAACATTTCCTCAAGCTGGAGCTTATTAACATAAGGGATAAAGAGTGACAGTGCTAATGCTTGTTTAACATGATTTTTATTGGGTGAATGTGATTCTCAAGAACCACCCATGGTATAAAGATGTATGTTGTCCAAACATACATTGTAGTAATTTGCTTTACATAGCAGTAGAATTTACCATATGATGCAGACATTCTGGAGTAACGCTGTCAGAATTTTCTTCTTCTTCCCAGATTTATTCTAAACATGGCCTAGTACCTAGCCCAAGTACCTAAAAGCAGTACATTTAATAACACTGTGTTCATCTACCAGCTTCTGTGTGTTCTTAAAGGACAACCTGAAGACCTGTTTATTCCTACCTTATCCCCACTCCCCCAAGAAATCCAGATGCCAGCTTTGCATAAATTCTGTGCCTTCTGCTTCTGTATACTCTATGGATTTGTTGTTAAATTATTTTTAACATTCAAATTCTAGAAGTCTGGGCATAAGAACAGTGTGTGAATTTCCCAAGTGGTCATTTACTACCCTCTTTTCTCCAAGGAAAGAGGAGAGAGTTAAGTTCAAGATTTGTTGCAGCTGGACTGTAATCAAGCTGATGGGAATGTAGTGATAAGAGGCAAAGAATTTGAATTTATTACATTTTTCTTCCTTTCCTGCTGCTGAGTACTGCAGTAATTTCACTGAGCTCATGTGTCCTTCCTGGTCTCTCTAAATAAATGCATTAGAAAACCTCTTATGTAAAGTTTCTAGTAAACTGTGCCTGGATAATGAAGTATCTCCCACCAGTGCAAATAGAAGTGCCCAGAGTGTCTGGGTAGCGATAAAAAAGGGTGTGGGAAACTCATGGTCTGGGTGAGGAGTTCTCTGCATTTTCATACGTTGACAGCAGACTCTCCATGTCGGCCTCTGTAGCTCAGCCCTACCCTGGCCCAGAGGGCGTGCTGCTGGAGGTGAAGGATGATTTGTCCTGTTTTTCTCACCCTCCTGAGGTTTCTGTGTACTGCCAGGTAGTGTACTGCGCAGGGTTATTATAGTGGTACCTGAATAACTGCCTGGTGGTAACAGCTTTTCTGTGGCCTTTGCCCAAAGCTGTAGAGGATTATGTGCAAACCAGATTTAAGCGTGCCTGAATGATAAGATTCTCTGTGTTTTCATTTAGGAAATTAGCAAAAAGCCTCATCCAAGTGCTATAAAATCAGAAGAAAACTTCAAACCGTTGCAGGACAAGAAGAAGTATCGGCACAGACCCGAACCTCTCTTCATACCTCCTCCTTCCTTCAACCTCAGCATGCCCCACTCTGGTGCCACTCTGTACCAGAGCCAGCTCCGCTCTCCCCGTGTTCTGGGAGATCACCTGCTGGACCGGACGCACGAGCTGCCCCCCTACACTCCGCCGCCCATGCTCAGCCCCGTCCGGCAGGGCTCTGGTCTCTTCAGCAGTGTTCTCACCTCTCACAGCACATCTCACGCCCAGCTGCCCCTCACTCCACTGACACCCACTCCACGGGTGCTCCTGTGTCGGTCTAGTAAGTATTGCATTTACAGAGCAGCAGTACAGCGGAGGGACATTGATGGGTTCTGTGCGTGCTCACATGCACGGTCAGTTCTGCTGCTTCACAGGAAAAATCCGTTTTAGTGGCAGTTTTGCCTTGGATTTTGCAAAGTTAAGGCGTAAAGGGAATAGAGGCTCTGCCAGTAAGGCTGTGATCATTCCATGTGATCTGCTTCAAGAAAGGATCACCTTGCCTCTCATTACATCTGGGCCTTCTGAAGTGGAAGAAAAAGACCTAGTTTGAGACATGGTGTTCATGTTAAGTATTTGTTGTTCAGTACTTCACAAGAAAAGGTGTGCAATCACTCAGAATCAGGGCAGCAGAAACTCTGCAAGTTCAAACATTTCTATTACCTATAAACATTTAGACTGTTTCTAAATATTGATAAAGGGTCTCTTTAGCATCATAGACTGCAGTAATGTTGGTGTTAGTAAGGGAGGTGGGCACTGCAGCCTGGGAGGGTCACCAGCAGGAAAGCAGCAATACTCAAATTCCAATCTCCGTTTCAGATAGTATTGATGGAAGTGTCATTCCAGTGACGCCTGGGCCGGGAGAACAGACTGTTGAACCGTAAGGAAAACAATATTTTTTGTCATTGCTTTTATAGATTAGCTCCAACCTAGAGCCTGTGGCCTGAAGTATTTTCAGCCAGCCAAGAAGTATTCAACTTACTGAAATAATTTTGGGCTGGATGCATTTAATGTTTCTGTGGATGGTGGCTAAGGACATTTGGAACAAAGTGGCTGTGGAAAATATAGGTGTCATGGCTCAGAGTTAGTGATGGATGTAAAGAGTGCTGTGAGGAAAATGTGCCAGTGCAGTACTCTTGCTTTTGAAGAAATACATATATATATAAAATAAGAGTGGAGCTTTGGAGTGGTGGTGTTACCTGGTAGGTCCCCCATGGCAAAGTGCAAACAGGGTTGTCCCTCAGCAGTAATGGCTCTTTTTGCTCTCTGCTGAAGAGTACCATTCTCTGTGGAACAGAAATTTGCTGTTTCTGATGTCTAGCCTCTTTGCTAGTCATGCATGTAAATTAGCTTGGGTTGTCCCTAAGGTATGATGTCTCAGTATGGCTTAAATTGCATATTGAAATTTTTGTTTTTTCCCAAGAGTTCAGTTCTCTCTAGTATTCAAAATACTTATCCCACTGGGAGTGAAGCATTGCGTAAATCTGTCTGACACAATTTCCTGCCACTTCAGTGCAATAAAAGTTTTTTTAGCGTTCATTTGTTGGAAAGAAAGTGAGCGCTAATCTTTTGTATTTTATTTAAATATAATATAATATAATATAATATAATATAATATAATATAATATAATATAATATAATATAATACAAATTTTATATTTTCTACACATTGTGTGGTTGAAATACATTATTTATTCTTCTGTATAGGCGAATCAATATTGGGTCCAGGTTCCAGGCTGACATTCCTGAGCTGCAGGACAGATTGCTATTGGAGAAAGATGTGCACAAGGCTACTTTGGTTTGGAAACCATGGCCAGAACTGGAGAACAAAGTCTTCCAACAAAGAGGTATTGCCATTTTAGAAGTTCCTACATCAGCCTGTGCCTATTGAAGAAATACTCATTGATTTCTCATGTCTGTACTGAACAAAACGTTCAAGAGAATATGAATTGCTGAGAGTGCAGAGCAGAAGACTAGATCTACATGGTGTAGGTTCAGAGAAACAGCATGATATGGTGGCACTTAGAGTGAAGTCAGGTTGACTGGTTTTCTGGCAACCAAGGGGAAAGGTCATTGCTGGGAAGTTGGGTACTGAACTGCCTGGTAAAGGCAGCCAAGAGACAGCTGATGCCTGTCCTGTGACCATAGTTGAGAGGAATTGTGGCAGGCTTGGTGGGTTTTAACAGTCCTGAGCAGAATTTTTCCTGCTTCTAACATGGTTCATTCTGTTTCTCCACCCTGACTGTAGCCTTCTTGGCACAGCAATGTCACTGGTGTGAGCAAGTCATTGCCTCACAGGCAGATCTTTGGCTCTGGCGTAGCCTGTCCCATCCCAAGGATGGGCTCTGTTACATCCTCTCCTCAGTGATCCTAAAACAAGTAGCTGAGATGTTGAGGAGAAAAAGTGTGAAAGAATCTGCTGCCCTGAGCTATGTAGTCTTTGAGGGGCATTACAGAATCCTTGGTTCCAAATGTTTGACTGACAGGCTACTGTATTAGCAGTAAAATGTTGACTTGTTTCTGACAGTGGAAGACCTTTTAAATATGAGCTGTTCCAGTGTGTTACCTGGTGGAGGAACTAACTCAGAATACGCTTTGCACTCTCTCTTTGAAGCAAAAGGAGATATTATGGTAAGATAAAAAAGCTGAAAGGGGAGATATGATCCTCTTCTGCAGATAAATTAGCATGCTTTATTAAATGGATTTAGATATGGTTATATAAAAAAGATTTCTCATTGATTTGAAATGATGCTTTAAACATCCTGTAACATTTTTGGGGAATGACTTTTCCCTTTATTCTCTAATAAATTTAAATTTCAAAGCAGTGCCTCTCTGAAGGCTTACTGTATATTTCATATAGATAAGATTACTTAGTATATAGCCTTGGGGCTTTGAATGTCTCCAGTGCTTGCTCCAGCCCTGATATTTCACAGGCTTTATATTTGGTCACAGAGAACTTACTCTTCTTCTAGCCCTTATAAAAAAACCTTTTTTTGGAGCAGCAATCACATCTACTTATTTGTTCAGAACTGTGAGGTAATTGAACACAGTTCTTATATAAATAATGCATTTCAAATATTTGCATTAGTTTAGTGATGGGAATGTTATTAACTAAGGCAAAACATCCATTTTGCCCAGTGTTAGGGAAAGGCAAGGCCCCTTGCACCAGTTCCTGGAAAGCCGGTATAAATCCAAATGCAACAAAACATGAGGCTGCACTGAGTCTCACTGGATTGGCTAAATACAGTGGGTTTTAGCTTGTGTCCCAGTTTCCTTAGGCTCTGGTAGCTGTATCTGAGAGGTCTGAGAATGTCAGGATGTGGAATTTGCTTTACAGAGAGTCTGCATTTTCAGGGGAAAAATTTTAGGGATCCATAAATCCTCCCTTTTCCTGATCTGAAGGCAGTAATTCTTGACAGATGTTGACCTACGCAGATATTCTAAAATATTTTATGCTATACATATGAATGCTGTCAAACCAACCATTAATTAAATTAACACTATCAAGTCAAATGCTAGAAATGTATTTGTGGCAAGAGCTGGAATTTGCTAAGTAATAGTCACATTTGTGCTCATTAAAGGCAGGACAGGTGCACATTAGGTGCTCTTCTGTGAGGTACAGTGTTAATGGGCCTTGGAGTAATTTGAGTAATTTGATGTGATTCTATATGACAGAAAAGAGAAAAAAGAGAGTTAATTCATATCCTCATACAAAATAGTCTTCTAAATGCAGTTTTATGCCACAGCTGATTTCTTTTCTTAATTCTGTTTTCCCCTGGTTTTTCATTTAGGTTGCTCTTGAAAAGCTGCTGTTGAGAAAGCCAGTGAGGTTGAAGTGTCATCCTTTGTCAAATTACCACTATGCCGGTGGGTTTCCTTGTGATCGTTCTATCTGTTACCCAGTCCAAGCCTGACATCCCAGGCTGGAGCATGGGATCACGTTGCACTCTCTGCTGTCTGCTGCAGGGATGGCAGCATTTAACAGAGATGATGTGGACAGTGCCAAGAGTACTCCCAGATCCGTTTTTTGCAAGTTTAGCAGTTTTATACATGACTGACAATGTACAGAGGCTTTGCATCCATGTTGCTGTGTAGGATTCTACAGATTTAAAACTGCCTCGGGTGATTATTTTTCTCTTTTAAACTGAAATGTAACAATTTCATCTCCTTTTAAAACAGTTGCTATTTGTAATTTATAATTTAGTGTCACTAGTGTCTTAATTTTCTGATGCATAAACAATCCGCCATCCTGCCTGCTTCTTCCGAAGTGATGGTGCACAATAAATGAATATGATAATCATGAGCATCCTTCCAAAGAGGCAGTGCTGTAACTCTCACTAGGATCTTAGTGCTACTTATGGAGCCTCTGTGTCAAAAATCTAGTCAAAAAACTCTGGGTTGGTGTGAGATACAAATGTGTTAAGCCATTGGACTTCAATTGTGTCAGCTGAGCAAAGATGGCAAATGTCTCACCTCTGCAGCCCCCCCCATGCTATTACTTAATGTTTTGTAGTGGCTAACAACTGCTGAGACACAGAATAGGGTTTTACATAATACTTTTAGAACTTCATCTCCAGTTCAGGCTCAATAGTAAATGAGCCAAGAGTCTCCTGGTGGTCAGTCAATCACAGTGTGCAAAGTCATGTACTCATTTCAGCTACAATCACTGTGCAAGGTAAGTATCAGTCCACTTCCTGGCTGTAGCAGCCCACTGGAAAGACTTAAAAGTAACAAGAAGTCTTTGGAAGGCAACTCCTTAACACCTTGGCCTGAGAGCAAGAACAGCAACGTGATTGATAGTAGCTGATAACGACAGTGAATAAATGTGAACGTCAGGTTTTCGGTTTTGTCTGAGGGAGGTGCTTGGTGCCTGTGATAGCAGCTCTGTTACAGTCCAAAGGGTGGACATGGGAATGGATGGGGAAGGAGGACATCAGCCATCAGCCAGGAATTTTGATCAGAGTCTCTTGCCTGAAGAGATGACACCAAATCTGTGTGAGACAGTTCAAGAGCATAAGAACAGGAAGATGAGGAGATATCCCACAGCCTCTTCATCAGTAAACAATCTAATTAGCAGAGCAGATAAGAAATTTCTGGCTCTGTGGCAGAGAAAGAACAGTCTTTACTAAAGCAACTTCATAGTAGTTTCAAAAAAAATTCATTGGGATTCAGGGAGGAGCCAAGAGACTGTTTTGTTTAATCTTTCACGAGAGATGATGCTAATCCCTGGTAACTAGGCACTGAGACCTGTGGACACCTTTGAATCCCTATTCTTACACAGGAAAAAGTTTGGTTGTGCTTATCACAGCATGAAATAAAATCTCACCAGTCTGGATTTAAGCGCCATAAAATAACAAGACAAAACACTACTTTCTAATGCTTTTGCATGCAACATGTGATTGCAACTTACATTGACAGCATTGCTCTAGCACTGTGCAGCACCTCTTGAATAAGAATTTATTTCTGATTGATAATCAGCCACTCGAGGCATATGAGTATTTTTCACAATCTAGTCCATGAATAGCTTTAATATTGTTTCAAGTGGTATCAGTTTGGGATAACTTCATGTTTTCTGCCACATACTCAGAAATTATGGCTCTCCGGTTTACCACATTTAAAGGTGGAATGCATTGAAACAGAGCATGACACTTACTCATGAGAATTGACTCTCTAGAGTACCACAAACAGCAGATGCCCAAACTCATCCCTAGCATTACCTTTGAATGAGGGTACAGGCAAATAACTCAACTTTGAAACCTGTTGGCTTGTGAAGGAAGCCACTTAGAAAACTTGAGCATTTTCTGGTGTGTGCCAAGAGAGTTGGACCTGCTGACCCAGGACTCCTTGGAAGAACACTCTATCTCTGTCCTAAGACTTGCCATCTGTCAGGATGGTGCTTGAGGAAGACAGGGAGCACATACCTGATATAAGAGGGGCACTGTTGCAAACACTTGAATTGTTCTCCTTTCAACAGTGGAGTTTCTCAGGTGTGAAGTTCTGCAGTGAGAACTGCAGGAGAGGTGGTCTCTGACATAGGGCACTTCAGGCAGTCTGGAAGCTTCTTTTATGTGCTGTGACAAGGCTGTGGGTCAGACCCAGCACATGTACATAGTGGATTTCAGCTACCTCTCCATGGAGCTCCCTGGGTGTACATGTAACCCCCTTGAAACCCACAAGTTGGGCCCAAAGCACACAAATGAGTAGGAGATACTTAATGTCAGCAAAAACAGTATAGCAGGTAAAACAAAAGATAGAATAAATATCTAAACATAAAGACCAGATTGAAAATTTGATCTGTGTTCAAAAGCCCCAAATTCTTTTTGCTGCATTGCAGATCTCTCTCTATGCACGTTCTTTATATCTCCCTCAAGCTAACAAGAGCAAAAGTGGTTTCCCAGCAACCAGAGTTAAAAACAGCTTTTCTTCTGTTTCTTTTCCTACACAGGATTTATTCTATTAATTAGGTTACTTCCAATTAACCCGCATAATCTTATAAGGGTCTCTGCTAATACCACAGCTATTGGGGAAAGTATGCAAGGCCCAAATATTCTATAGGTGTACAACAAAATTAGTTCATGGAAGTGATTCTATGTTGTTATTTTTATTGTGTTGTCTTTTTCAGAGGGTGGGGTAGAGGCAGACGAGCAGAATGACTAGTAAAAAAGAAAATCTCTCCTGTGTTGTCATGCTTTTTAAAGTTATGTTTTGGCATAATTAGAGTAGCCTCCTGGACTGAATGAGTGCATTTACCCCTGCACACAGGGAGGGTAAATGCTCATGACTGACAGCTTGTGTAAGAAGGGAATGATGCTGGTTCAGGGTGGGAAAAGATGGAAAGGCAGTGTGTCAGCAGAAAGATCTCTGGGTGATAACAGAGTAAGTAAAACTCATGGCTTGAAGCCAGTGTCTTTCTCTGATGCTTAAGAGAGCTTTAAGTGTAAATCTCTGTGGAAATAACTAATGCAAGCTTATATCCAGTACTGGAAGAACCCACAGAAAACAGGTTGCAGGAAAGTTAATTTTGTAGTTTCCAGCATATAAAGGAGTGATGAGATACCTGCTCTGAGCTTGTAAGCCTGGCAGTTGATGCTGAAAAACAAAACATTTGTAGTTAATAATATTGCTAGTTTTCAAGACAAAAGTGACTTGTAGAGTTCAATACAATGTGTAGTGACAAGACACAAGTTAATTGAAATCAGTGCAGAGGCAAGAATTTGCTATGAAGAGTGGTAACATTGACAGGAATATTAGGGATTTCTTTTCATAAAAGTTTTAGATGTCTGAGAAATTCTCAGACTGAAGTAGAATCTTCTCATAGTGAAAGTCATTTCAAAGGCATCCACTTTATGACTTCTTGCATATCCTTCCTTTAATGTATGTAATGCTGCCCACTCCTAACAAACAGAACCCTGCTTTGATGCAGCAGAGCAATCCTGTGTTCTTCTGTTTGCCTAATATTGAGAAAGCATAAATTCAGTTCAATTTGAATGTTGATTTCACATTTTCATGGGCAGTTAGGCCAGGGGACTGAACACAGAATAACAACATTCAGAAGTTTTATATACAGCTTCCATTAAATGATGAAAAACACTTTGTGCATATCACACATTGCTACAATGTCTACCTACTTGTGACCTCTGCTACAGAGGATTTAAATGCTTTATCCCAAACCATGCAAGTGAAGAGCTGCAAAAGGATCTTAGAAAAGGATCTTGCAAAAGTAAAATAAAAGGATATATGAACTTCTGTGTCATCAAATGTAAAGTGGCATACATGGGAATACACAATTCAATCCTTACATAGGAAATTATGGTTCTCTAGTGGTACTTATCAATTAAAATAAAAGTTGGGAATTGTAATGCTAGTCCTAAGGAAGTATCAGCTGTATTTTACAACAGCTAAAAACATAGGCATTAAGAGGATAGAAAATATGGTGATGCCACTGTGAAAGCCTGAATTTTATGTGGACTTCTGTGTGCCTTTCTGGTCCTCTTGTCTTTATAGGAATATTTTAATACTGGAAAAGGTTCAGAGTGGGACAGCAGTAATGATTAAAGGTTTGGGAGTGATAGAAAGGCCACACAATTCTGAGTAGCTTGGAGGTGATGGTTAAGGTTAGGTTCACTTTCTCCTCCACTTGAAGAATGAAGGGTCATCCAGTGAAGCTACTGGGAGCTAGGAAAAAAAGAAAGGGAGGTGGCTCTATGCAGAGGGTCCACTGATCTGTGAAACTTTTGGCAAAGAATGGTTTGGGTACACGAAGTTTAATTGGTTGAAAGGAAGAGTGGCTCAGCACTTATAAGGGTAGTTACTAAATAAGCAAATTGCAACAGACTCAGGAAATCCCCTGTGCCCAGTATGGTCAGAGGTTAAGAGAAATTAGGGAGAGGCATTGTATTTCCTTGCCCTGATCTTACTGTTTCCTAGGCTATTGCCTGTCACTGATGCTGGAGACCAAATACTGGTTAGATGGACTTCAGGTCTGAGTCAGTACAGCCATGCTTGTATTTGGGTAGCAGCAATCATTCACATTTGCTTGAGACTTCCTGGTTCTCGTTTCAGATCTGGGATCAACATAAAGGTGGTGAGTTTTTATCGTTCATAATGATTTCACTTTCTTTTTAAGGCTCTGACAAATGGACTCATCAAGAAAGGAGACTGTTCAAAGAGGCACTGTCCACCTACAGCAAAGATTTCATATTTGTACAGAAAATGGTAAGGTTATTTATGTCTGTCAATTGCTGGTTTTTTTTTTTTTTTTCCTTTTGCTCTATTCTGTTCCTCTTCCATTTCCCTCCAGTGCCAGACTAGCTAGTTGCAGGCATGGAGGTAGCAGTGGTGACAAGAACACCAACAGGAGTGGTATATTCATTGGTTGTACCTGTGCATTAGATAAATGTAAAAAACAGTTATAAATAATTAAAAGTTGTTGCTCTGGTGAAAATTTTCACACCTGGAATCCAAATCATGGCATTTTATGTGTGGGAAGTATAGTTTTCCATTACTGTCTTGGTGTTCTCTGGCAGTTTGTTACAAGGTACCAGAGTCTCTGGCATTGAGCCTGGTGCCAGAAAGGGTTGAAACCTGTTAATAAAGAGAAGACATGTTTGGGCTTACTTTTCATGTTCTGCCACAAAGCAGAAAAGACAAGGTTATAAATCTCAGGGCACAAAAGATTACTTGTTGGCTCCAATGTTGAAAAATATTGTGGATTTATGTGAGTCAAGTCTTAATTCCTAGATTTCTCAGTGATACTGTACAACTGAGCTATAAGAGTACATTCTGAGTAATTTTCTGTCTGGAGTTTAGAGAATCCCAGAGAAATCTGAAGTTGAAAAAGTCAGTGCAAATTTGACTGGAAAAAGATTTTTAAAAGAATTATTCTACAAGAGTATTCCTGTTGTCAAACTGCCTTTTTTTTTTTTTCTCCATTTGAATGTTTAAGGAATAAAACCTATCTCTTGGAATATATTAAAGTTGTGTTGAATGAAAGCAAAAAATTAAGACTGGACTATTTCTGCAATTCCTTAACTACAGGTTAAGTCTAAGACAGTTGCACAATGTGTGGAATACTACTATACCTGGAAGAAAATCTTGCGTTTGGGACGGAAACACAGAACGCGCTTAGAGAAGAAAAGAGATGAATGCTTGGTAAGTCTAAAAGAAGATAAGAACACTTAACACTTGATAATTTTTGCTTGACTTTTTTTGAGGAGGTAGGAGGTGACATAGGTATCTTCCAATATAAATTCTTCCATAATTCTAAATTATGCTCTGTGTGAACATTTTGTGACCTCCGCTACACAAAGATTTGTGTGGCTGGACTGCAACCAGATAAAAGTTCTAACTGTAGTCCAGGGAATCCTCTGTAAATTGTGCCTGTGTCCATGTGTGCTCCTAAATGCTGCTCTAACATTCCAGTACAAATAACCACTTGGGATGTGTTGGTCTGTGGGTTGGGTTTTTTTTTGGTTGGCCGTTTTGGGGTTTTGTTAAAGTAACTTGACTATAAGTACAGCGTACATGGCCTTTCTGGTGGCAGGAGAACAGTACTGTGCCTGGCATCTGTAGATCTTTGGAGCTACAGCTCCATAATACACATGCAGAGAAGCTTTATGTGCTATACCTTATCCATTAGGGGGTGGTAGCTCCAGTAAGACTAGAAGTTCATTCAGGATGGGAAGAAATAGTGATGCTGGGAAGCACTCTTGACTAAACAACATGCTGTTCCAGAACTCTGTATGTCCTACTATCCAGTGCTGTCTGACCATATTTCTAGTGTTCTTTAAATGCACTGTCTATTTTAGACAAGTGGAGAAGAGGAAGTGTTAGAGGAAGATGAGGAGATGGAAGAAGACAGAAAGGAAGAAAGGGAAATGCAGAAGTCACCTGACCCACCAGCAATCTCTCTTGTTGGACCTATAGATCTACCTGCTGTTCAGGGTCTTTCACTGTCTTCATCCTCCTTCATCTGTGAAATGCCAAACTGTGGCGCTGTATGTGCGTTTGATACATTTAATGGGGAGAGGGTGGTGGTGGTGGTCATATGTGTAGACCAGTGAACTGTGATTTTGACTGCTTTTAATTCCCACCCCACAAAAGAGAAGCAGTTTGCTCTGTACAGAAAACTGAATTCTGAGATGATGTACCAGTTAGAAATACTATGTGGCAATAGTTCCAATTAGGTTACACAACTGTAATAATAGGATAGCTCACTGCTTTGTTTTATTGTGATTGTCTTCAGTTACAGTGGGATACTGCTGAAAGCAAGCACCATTTGAGGGAGTAGATGGTGCATATTAGACGTGTACACTTGTTCTGTTGTGATATGCATTTAGCATCCTACTTTCTGCAGTTCCAGTGTTTCCTTGTGATTTCTTGGGGTTTTTTTTTCCTCTCCCCTCCACCCCACTCCCTGCCAGGTGTTCAGTTCCCGACAAGCGCTGAATGGCCACGCTCGCATTCACGGAGGTACAAACCAGGTGACAAAAACACGCTGCACCATTCCCGGCACGAAGCAGAAATCTGGTACGCAGAGCGGATACTGCTCCATCAAGAGCTCACCTGCCCACAGCACAACAAGCGGCGAGACCGACCCAACGACCATTTTTCCTTGCAAGGAGTGTGGCAGGTAAGTGCGACTGTCTGCAGTACAGCATCACCTTTGCCTGTTTAGATTCCAGATCAGCAGTGCTGTGAGCAAACTTTGTATTTTGCTTCCATTGTCTTGGAAGTAGTTTTCCCCCTAGATGATATGTTCTCTTACCAAAGCTGTCAGAGATAGGTTTGCATGATATTTTTTATGCCCCCTGCAGTATTTACTCCTTTTTTTCACTTAACTGCTAGAATTTCTCCATCTGACATTCCAGCTTCCTGCTTCATCACCAACTTGGATATGACAGTGGGCAAATTTTTCTGTATTTCTGTGCTTGAGTTTGTCCATCTTGGTAATCATTCACTTTCTCCCTGTTGTGCAAGATGGTTGTGAAACTGATAGAGGGAAAATAGGATGTACATAGATACTGAAGCAGGTGTGGGAGCTACAAACTACCTCTGGCAAAATCAGAGTAGGCCATTTTGATACCATCAGAATGTATAAATCTGGTAATATGTCCCTGAAATTCACACCATGGCATTGCAGATTTCACGGACTTCTATTTCAGGACAAGGAAGCAAATGTACTGATAAGTTGTTGAGTCTTTTTTGGCTCATTTAATCAAAAGCAGTGCATTTTAATCTGATTTCTTTTTCCTTTAAAATTTAGGGTCTTTTTCAAAATCAAAAGCCGCAATGCTCATATGAAGACTCACAGACAACAAGAAGAACAGCAAAGGCAGAAGGCTCAGAAAGCTGCTGTGGCAGCAGAAATGGCAGCCACTATTGCAAGAACTACTGGGCCAGCTGGGCATAGTTTGATCCCCCTGGATCACATGAGCTTGGTTAAACATGTTGAAAATGTTGGTGACATTGATGATGATGTTGTTCCAGATCTGGGTGATGTCATGGAAGAGAATGAAGTTATGGATGCTGACCTCTTACTGGATGATGAAGATCCAGATCTACTGCAGGATGATGCTGAGTTGTAAATAAAGTTGTTTAATAGACAGCTACTGAGCACACCCTGAATGGATCAATCAGGAAACCCGGACTGCTTGTTTATTCTCACTGATTGTAAACTACCTGTTGAAAATTATAATTCTTTTATCCAGGTCTAGAAAAAAAAATCTGCTTTTTTTCCCTTTTTTTTTATTAATTTGTGTTTTGGGGGAAGAAATAAATAATTGGTACAAATATTCTTATAAGGTGTTTTTATCTGAGCTCTTTTTGCTGATAACTTCCAAGACCACTAATTACAGAAGTTCATGGTTCTGCTATCAGTTCCTACCAGATGGTCCTGGTAGAATCTTTAGTCTTTAACTCTTCCAGTTTTCATTTTACCCCAATTACAAGAATAAATTTCACACACTTCTGATGAAACATTTTTTTTTGTCTATATTGGATCATTTCCAGCATCTTCTAGAGAGTAAATGTCATCTCTCTGAAAGATACGATTACATTATTTGTCTTTGTGCTGCCATTTTAAGCGAGATGGAGGAAAAAAAAGATCTGGTTTAACTGTGAAAGAGTTAGTAATATTGCAGTTCATTTTCAGCTCTGTCTTGGTTACACAGGATGTTTTAGACATTCCATTTAAGCATGGTTTTGATCTGCTGATTTTAAAGTGACCGAATTTCAAGGATTGAAGAAGGAAAATGATTGTTCTATTTTCTACATCCTCTGATGGGAACACTGAATCAGGAACACTGCCTTGGTAATCAGATTGCACTGGAAATATTGTCCCGTGACAATAAATCACACTGTGGAATAGCCATCTCTGTGGTTTTAGGGGAGTGTGTGTTTGAGCACACACTCAAAGTGAGTTTGCTTGTTCTCTCACAGGCAAACATAGGGAAGCATTCTTGCCATTGGAAAAGAGACTGATATGCTTTCAGCATGTAGGTATAATGTGTTATTCTTGTGCCATTTTCAGTCTTCTTCATTACATCAAATTCAGCTGTTGTTTATTTACTATAAACATGCTGCAGAGGTGAGTTGATGTTGCCGTTTAATGACCATTTCTCCTCCGTTAGGTTCAGATCTACATGCTGGACACCTGACACATTTTATATAAATTTAGATTTGGTTCTCTGATTAAACAGCATTTGAAAGAATTGTACGTTGCAGAATAAAACAAGAAATGGAGTTAGGTTGAGTGGACCTTTAATTGCAGAATATGAATGTTGATTGCAGAGCTCTCACAGGCAGCAGCACTGATTTTCTTGTGAATTTTGCACAGTAGAGGAGTATTGTTAACTTTATAAAATACTTTATAAGACTTACTTCAGATCTTCCAGGCTTCAGGTTTGTTT